AAATAGTGATGCATGCTCAACCTTGGAACAACAGGGCTCTGTGATACAGGGATCGAAGCATAGTCTGACAATGAGAAATAATATTAAGATGATTACAGAAAGCTTGTAAACACCATCTTCAGCCTATAACTGATTGGGATACCTAAAGTGGTTCTACAACTTGCCCAGCGAAATAGGCTTCTTGTGGAGCCTTTGGAGTGTACGAGACCTTAGGTGGAATCCTAAGCCCCATCCAGAACCTTCTGAGGTGGGACATTCCTACTAGAAAGGACAAGCAGACCAGCTTGTAACAGCTAGAGCAACAGAAGATACTTCTTGAAAGAAAGATCAGAAGGAAAAATCCAAAACAAAATTGGCAGTCTGATTAGTTACTACAAGAACAAGCAAGTTGTTTGCTGGGGAGTCATCAAGGCAAGCAATCATGTCCCTTCAGGACAACCTCCACCTCCAAAACTGAAACTCAAAGGGAACACAAGAAAAGGCTTGTAAGCTTGCTGGCAACCATGTTTGGTCTACTGTTGAGTGGAAGTGGGGGAAAAGCAGTAATGAAAATATGAGCTGAATTCAACCACTGAATTCCACCGACTCCAGATGACTAGGAGATGAGAGAGAGGAGAAAGGGCTGTTGATCCAAAGTGTGTTGAGAACTCGGGACCCCTGAGCCCATGAACAAGGACATAGCCATGAAAGGACAGAGCTGAGAGTGAAGCATCCAGTTGATTATGAAGTGAGGGAAGATGAACAAGAACATCCAATTTTATAGATGGTACCCATTTGACCTAGCCTCAGTGGCTTGATAATCAGAACTCGACTAGAGGAAGGTAAAAAAACAAAATAATTTTTGATAAGGGAAATAAGTGTAAATTGCTAGAATTTGATGAACTTGACCTATACTCATGGATGTAGTAGCTCAAAATACCAACTGAGAGGGAAGGAGTCTTCACATCAAGTATCAAACCTATCCCCTTTGTATACAGGACTGGTAAGGGTGGGCAATTTTAGACAATGGCTACCTAAAATAAGGGGATGATAAAGGCACAAAGTGACTGGTTTACGAGTTTTCAAGAGTGAGTTTAGTTTACGAGTGTGGGGGAAAAAGTAGAGTCCCTATTGAATAGTTTTCACATTTTCTAGACAGGTCTGGTGAAAAGAGATAGGGTTAAGATTCTTGTGATTCAATAGTGAGTAACTGTTACCATGACTAATTGAGACTGTCACAACTGTACAGGTAGAAGTTTTCTAACAAAAAGGGGGTAGTAATCTCATTGTCTAGGAACAAAGGACCCTAGGATCATCATGGGAGAAGAGCATGAGTGGAACGTGGGACCCTATTCAGAGAAGCAACAGCACTAGAGATGGAGGCTGAGCTGAGGACATGGAGAGAGGGAGCAGCTCAGCATTCTAGACACATGGAAAGAGAAAGACTGAGTGCTGGTAGCCAGGAGGCATGCATGCAGAATGTGCCCTTTGATTATTTAAATTATTATATATTCCTGAGTGTTTTTTGGTACATCCCGCTCCCCCCCCCCAAAAAAAAAAAAAAAATAACAAAAAACAGAGGGAATGGAAGCAAATACTATTGAATGATGATGCACGGAGGCGATTGTAATTATTGCAATGAAACGATCAGTGTCAAACTGATGTTCTCCCCTGTAAACTATCACTCAATTTACAATAAAAACTTTAAAATACATTTGTAAAATTACACACACACACACACAATTTATCCAATGAAAATTTTTTTTAAAAAAAACCAACAACCAGTTATGGCAATAAAGTGACACCATCTACTACTCTTAACGTTTTATAGAAAAGCAAGAATTGGACATTAAGAAAGTTCATGGAGAAGATGGAACAACCCCTAAGAAACTGCAGCATCTGCTGCTAAAAAATGTGGGCTTTGGATTATTGGTCAAGAAAGAAAACAGCTGAAAACATTTGAATGGAATCCTTACTGTGATATTTTCAAAAGGAGGATAAATAAAAAATGGATGCCTCCTGGGAGAAGAATGAACAAGTGAAGGAAATCAGAATCTACCAGAACAAGTCATAATTAAATCAGAAGACTCTAAAATCGGCAGAACCCCAGGACAAGCCAGGCACTCTCTGATGTTACAAGCAATCTGGAGTGGACCAGGGACAGGCAGCTTTCACTTAAATGTGACTCTGTGACCAAAGAGGATATTGCAAAATACGAATTAGGGACCTATAGTAGTTAAGAATATCTATAGACAAAACAGCATAATCAGATGACATTATATGTACCAGTTCTGATCTGAGATGAATTAATAAGGAAATTGGTTAGAATCCACAAATAATTTGGGGAAAGCTATACTGTGCCATGATTTCATTCCATTAAATTACTGAGGTAAGATTTTATATAAGACTTACCCACCTCACTGGAACCATTAGATAAAAAATGAACCAATAGAGAGAAAGATATCTATGTTTTTCAGCCAATGGGAGGCCTCAAGTTGCTAAAGTCCCACCATGACCAAGTCACTGGTTCCTTTCCATCTCTCCTAAAAAATCTGCACCATTTCAACTTCCTCAAAGTCTGGATGGGGAGTAGTGAGGGAAAAGCGCCCTGGTGAGAAAGGTGGATGTAGAGTGCTTAGAAAATGTGTGAAGAATTCTCCAATCAGGACCGGACGTTGAGAGACTGAGCGAGGCTGCTGCAGACCTCAGTGCTCATGGCTTCCATATGGTGTATAGCTTCCTAAAACTGGAACATTTGTACTGCTTAGACAAATGGTAATTAAAACAGGAGGCCATTTTTAATGGCTAAAACAGTTGGTAACAAGCTTGCACGAGTTAACTCTGTATAGTTTACTTTCCTATAAATATTTTTATAATAAGACCTTCTAAAATCCCATAGAGAACTGTTGCTTTTAAATGATATTTACAAAATAGGTTCCTGAGGAGTCCTAGTGTGACACTTTAGGGTAAGTACTGCTAACTGCAAGGAGCTCTAGTAGTGTAGTGGTTACGAATCGGGCTGCAAACCTCAGGGACAGCAGTTCGAAACTACCAGCTGTTCCGCGGGAGAAAGCTGAGGCTTTCTGCTCCCGTAAAGATTTACAGCCTCGGAAACCCTATACAGGGTCACTATGAGTTGGAATCGACTCTACGGCAGATAACAACAACAACAACTGCTAACTGCAAAGTCATTAGTTCAAACACACCAGCCAACTCCTTGGAAACCCTATACAGGGTCCCTATGAGTCAGGAGTGACTTGATGGCACATAACAACAACAATAAAGTTGACTTCTTCATTCCAAGCTTTTAACTTCCTACTGAACAACTCCAGGGTAATATACTCCTTGTAGAGTCCCACACAGATGGAGCTGAGCGCTATTTAGGTAGTTACCAGCACCACTGGAAGCTAGCAGGAAAGGGCGTTACTTTCATCTACTCATGCTTATTTCATGACTAGAATGTACTGGTCATAGGCAAGTGCTAGTGGATACTACAGTATAACAGATGTTGTCCTCCTGGCTCACAGACCACATGAGCTGTTGTCATCAAGTGCCATCAGTCAGTGTTGACTCATAGCCACCCTGTATGGGTTTCTGAGGAGTGGCTGGTGGGTTTGAACCACCAACCTTGTGGCTAGCAGTCCAATGTGAGTATATACTGGGGCAGGAACACACAGATCAGCAGTTATTCTCATTTTTCCCAAGTCAGAGAGGGTTTCCTGAAGGAAGTTTAAGCAGAGACATGAAGAACGAGAGGGAATTAGCTAGGCGAGGAAAGGGGGAGGAGTATTTGCAGAGTGAACATACAAATGTGTTTTGGGGGCTTTGGAAAGTTTGTACAAAAATTCCATTTTTTTTTCAGTTCAGTTTTTCCACAATTTTTTGAAACTGCATCATACAAAGGATGGGGGTGAAGCAAGGAGAGAGGGGCTAGAGATGCAACCAAGAGCCAGATGATGGAATTGTGTAACCAAACTTTAGAGTGAGAAGGCACTGAAGAATTCAACCCAGGAATGACACCGTCAGCTTTTTTCATCTGAGGCACAGAGAATGGACAAGTCAGGAAGGTATCCCGCAGCACGGAGGAATGACTGGGGACACTTAGCAGATGACTTGGGATCTCCATCACTTATCCATCCACTGGAATGATATGCACAGGATGAGGAGCAGGCATCTGTGTGGGACTGTAGACTTCGAGCTGTCTCTCAAGCATCTGTGTGGAGATGCTCAGTAGGCAGTTGGATAGAGACATCCCAAGCCCATAAAAGGGATGGGGGCTATAGACAGAGATTTTTGTGTGTATAAAAGTGGCAAATAAAGCCATGGGAATACAAGAGATTCCAATGAAGCGGAAAGATGAGATAA